AACTCTAATCCATCTAAAAACTAGGTTTTTCTAATAAATACTTGATCGGCATCCAAAATCATATAAAAAAACTAGAAAAAACACTCACCTCCATTGACACAGTTACTGTTGGAGAAAAAAGTTTGGCGTCTTAGGGCATGATGACATCACCCAAACCCAAGGATGACATCAGCCCTAAACACAGTTCCTGCTCACCTTTTCAAGATTGACCTTTTTTACTTCTTGCTCTACTACCAAGTTGAAATTAAAATCGAGAATAAGACAATTAGATAGGATCTAGAGAGAGAAAGAGCAGAGAGAAAATAAAGACGAAGAAGGAAGAGAGAGGTGGGTGAGAGATAGAGAGATAAAGAGGGGAAGAGAGGGGTAGAGCACTCTAGTGACCTCCTTATTTATAACAACTAAGAACAATATTGCCCTTATTTAAAGAAATAAGACAACTAACGACTAAACAAAAGATAATGACAGTTTTTCCCATCAAATACAATAAAGCTTATTCCTTTTACTTTCAACACTAGTCACCCTCTTCAAACTCATAACCTTGGATGTGTTGTTTTTGGGTCCAACCCTAAGGGCGGAGGATCCAATTAGTATTTGATATATTATCCAAGTTGCATAAAGAAAGATGGAATCCCATGTGATAAGACAATAGTTTTAAAGATAATGTTAACTATGAAGAATCTGATCGAAGTTGGAAAACATATCCACCTAGGAGAGACAAAGGAATCTTCTATGTAAGGAGATTTTTCGAGAGAGAAAAGTAAGAAGATTCTTTTGGGAGAAAAAGAAGGCCTCACATGTCATCCAAAAGACCTTTCCACTTTCCACTTTTCTCCATGGTTACCAGGAGCCCCTACTTTGGTAGGCGATCCCTTCAAGGATCTCGATTTTGTCGCTCCCGAAACGGATCTCTCAGGGATCTCTATTTTTAAATTTTGGGATCTCGAACCCCACTGTCAGGGATCTCGATTCCTGTTATTTGGGATCTCGATCCCAACCTTAAAGACCAAGACAACAACCAAACTGATGATTTTCTTTGTTTATAGCCAACTAGCAACACAACTATTGCTTGCTTACTATCAATAATGAGATCCCTACTTTTTTCTCTCTCCTTTTTCGTTTCATGTCTCCCTGAAAATCCTAGAATGAGACAAGTACCACCCAAATTTGGCGGATGGACGAGAAGTCTCCGTTGGTCTCCATATCCATCTATGTAAATTGTGGTTTTAGCTCTCGTAATTAAAAGTCGACCTGTGGTTGTGGGCATTGAACTCTCAACTTGGAGACACCACAAGGGAAAGGAAGAGAGATAGCACGAGATGGGTACCAACCACAAGAGGGTAATCAAAATCGAAAAAGTTATGTCACCTATATCCAATCCTTCTATTTTGTGCTTCCATTACGTTCTGATTCACTCAATGTATCCAACATCAATGAAGAGACAAATTCATATGTCCTTGTAAGACATAATGGGGAAAACCTCTATCATGTATTGCAGGGTAAGTTGTTGGGTAAATGTAAATCATGTTTAGCAACGAAAAAGTGTGAAAGAATGTGAAGTCATCATGCATGTGTCTCAATTGAAATACTTGACAACTATAGAACTTAGCATCCAAAAGCCCGAAAGTACACATGAAGGCTGAATAGCTCAGCTCTTTTTTGTTACTCAGTAAATGTTTCAGCCTTCAATGAAAAATTCTTTCACACCAAATGAAATTGAGCTTGATTTGGTCGTCTTTCTATTAAAAAATACAAAATTTAAATGCTATTCAGGTTAAAAAAAGAAAGCCTAAAAATGAATTGAGGAGTGCAATTTTCAGTTTAAAAAATGGGCTTAAGCTAAAAAACTAAGGAGTTTGAAGAAGAAAAAACACATACTTGTAAAGACTTCCAAAAGCCAAATTGTCACGATCACCACGAGTATCAAAATAGTAATCCTTCTTCAACTTAGACCCAGAGCCTGACAAAACTCTAACCCTAGATTTCCCTGAGTAATCTTCCTCCACTTCTCTGTTCCGCTTACGTTTCTTTCTCTTCCTCTTCTTCATTTCACGCAAGCCTTTGCTTGACTCTGAAGCTGGAGAATCCAAAATTCCATAATAAGGTTTCTCAGGTGATAATTCTTCACCATCTTCATGCCCTAATTCATAGTCAGAAGTTGCTATTTCTGGCAAGGAAGCAACATCTACTGTGAAACTGGAATTGGAGAGCCATTTCCGGTGATGGGAAGTACTAACTGGTTGATGATGAGAGAGAGGAAACAAAGGGGATTTTGTCGAAGAAGGCTGTTCTCTCTCTTCCTCGCTTTCTCTCCCTAAACTCGCTGCATCTTCGTGCCCTAATTGGCGGCCAGAAGTTGCAACTTCTGGCAAGGACGCAACATCAACAGTGAAACTCGAACTGGAAAGCCATTGCTGGAGGTGAGAGCTCCTATTAATAGGTTGAGGGTGAGAGAGAGGGAACAAAGTGGTTGCTTTTCCAGAAGGCCGCTCCCTCTCTCCCGGTTCTCTCTCTAACTCTGCCAATTCTTCCCGTTGAGAATGAGAGAGAGGAAATGAAGGGGTTGAAGTTGCAGGAGATTGCAATCTCTCTTCCATTTCTCTCTCTAACTCTGTTAACTCTCAAAGCGTTATTCTCTCTCTTCGTTGCTGCCAACAAAATCTGAAGCCTCGAGTTCGAGTGTGTGACCTCCAGGTATGTGCACATTTATAAAACGGTCAGGGAAAAATAAGCGTATTTTCGATAATTTACAATGAATTGAGGGGTTTTGTGAAGGGTGGCAATGAACTTGACGAGAATCTCCGACGCGTAGACCCGACCTCGGGTCCTCTAACTTTTAGATTTGGATAGTATTCCGGTCTGGTGCCAGAGCTCAGCCGCACCCGTAGTTGTAAAGTACATGATGGTAATCATATGTCTTGATGCGCTAGCTAGGTGGTCATATTGTCTTAATATTGGCAATATTTTATCGATTAGAAAGAAGTTAAGATAAGGTTGCAATTTTAGAATATAGAATTATAGATGCACTTTAAAAATCTATTGAAACGAAAAACCTCTAATTGATTATCTTGACATCGAGATGCATGAATATGAAAAAAAAAAAAAGATTTTGAGTATCATAAATAGTGCATCTTGCAACACATTATCTACACTATCCATTTTTTAGATTTTCATATGTTTATAGATCTACTTGATTTTAACCATTTTTGGAGTTTAAAATTTTATAATTAGAGATGAAAATAAATTTTAAGAAAATCTTGAAAAAAATTTACACCAAAATTATATATTATGATAAAATTTGGAGGTGCACCTTAATTAGATTGTTTAAGTTTGCAACCTTATAGAAGCCACACTGTATTATTAGCAAAAAAAAAATCAAAGTGAAGCTCATAGTTATATGTGATGGTTAAAAAGGGCAAAAGAAAAAAAAAAAAAACTCATAGTCATAAGGTGGTAATGGATCCGACTAGACCCAGGACCCGATGAGTAAACCCAATACTCGACGGGTCCGGTTATGGGTCCAAATTGGACCTGAATTCTATTCGGGTCCGGATCCAAGTCCAGTTGAACCCTGCCCGTTGCCACCCCAAGTTTTGCGGAAGGACCGAACAATTTCCATGAGTCCTCATACTCATACGTGCAAATGTTGGTCTCCTAATCATCTTTTTTTAAAAAATAAATTTTGATCCTATTTTTTAAGGTGCAGTTTGTTTAGAGCCAAGGTTCTAAAGAATTAAAATAAAGGGCATGTTCAAATATTATCGAGAAATATGGTTTCAATATTTAAAATATTTGTGATAGCCTTGAAACATATTTTCATCTTTAATTATAAATTTTAAAATTTCAAAAATAGTGTAGATCAAGTAAGTCTACGAAAACTTGAAAATCGTGAAAATTGACGTTCCAAAAATATGTTATAAGATGCACTATTTCCAAAACTTGAAATCCATTTTTTTCTTATGTCCATAAATCTTGATATCGAGATGCTCAATTTGAAGATATTTGGCATCAAAACAAACTCTTCTAATGAAATTTTTGAGGTGGGCTCTAATTTGATTGTTTAGAGCCTCGGCTCTATATAAACTTTTTCCATTTTTTAAAGAATATGCAATACCTAATACAGAGATCACTAATGTGTAAAAAAATAAAAAATAATATCTTTAGAAGGAAAATTCTAAGTTGGTTTATTTGAAATTAATGGCTGTACTTTTTCCTTATTTAAAAATAATATATTTTGAATTTTGAAATTCAAATAGACCACCTTAGAATTTCAAAATCCAAATCGTTTTAGTTCACAAAAACTTTTGGTCCTGATTTTGAAGCTCCAAACAGATTTTAAATTCCAAACAAATGCCATTCTGGGGGGAAAAAATTTTAAAAATAGGGACATAAGAATAAATTAAAATACATAAGGGATGGATTTTTAATCTCAAAAAAGATGGATGCTGCATTTGAATGGGATACATAGTCCCATTAAAAACCTTTGGGTTTATCGCATCGCCGTTTGTTACATCACTTGGATGGTGATCATGGTATTTACAGTCATGTACGCATCGTACTTCAATATTTGACTGCCGTAATATCCCTCTTCACATCTCGACATGCGAACACGCAGGAATGGAACCCTTAGCGCTCTACCATTTCCCCTCATTATACTAGAACCCCATGCTCAATACCCTTCTCTCTCTTTCTCTCTCTCTCTCTCTACTAAATATTTAACCTCATACCAATCATCCCCCCACCCCCTTGTTGTCTCTTTATATTAATGAACCTCACACTCGATTAAATTTTAGCTCTTTATTCGTATTATTGAACCTCAAACGCTACAAAATTTAGGGTTCTGCGGGTTCTATTCAACATCAGAAATTTACTTGTAATATCATCTATTCAGTAACATTTTGTGCCATCAACCTGCGTAGGATTCCCATATTTTGAGCAGATAAAAGCCACAGATTGAACAGATGATCCATGCATTCACAACTTGGACACAAAAGCACCTATCCTTCAAAACATATTGCCACACTCCATTATCATACAAAAACCAGAATCCTGAAGCCACCAAATGATCCAAAAGCCAAGAGAAAAAAATGTAGAATCATAAGAATTCTACAGCCAATATGCCGAAAAATTAGGCCTAATCTAACCATCATTGACATGGCAAGCATCTCACCCACAAATGATCTCATCCAACTGAGATCAATCCAAGCATCCAACCCAAGCTTAAAGAAAGATGCCAAAGCTTAAAGATCAAAAAGAAAATAATAGAACACATCATATACACAATGCAAGTTCTTCAAAGCAAGAATCTGAGAACCACTTGGGCGTGTGCAAAATTACATTCTAACGTTACATTGTTAAAGGATACAACATGATGTTTCCTAAGAATCACACCTTTACGATTGATCAACACAAGACCCGGCGCTGGTTCACCTTTCACTGTACACTTCCAGCCCAATGCTGTGAAACCCAGGTGGAAAAATGAAACCCAAAGAGCTCTGGTTTCGTTCTTGCTGATACAAAAGCAAATTCTTCAGCCTGCACTAGACCACACAGAGAGCTCTTGAACCTTTAGAATCACCATTCAGTTATGAGCCAAAAATCAAGAGGAAATGGGTTCATATGGGTAAGAAAGCCATGGGTGTTTTAAGGCTTCCAAAGCTGACGGCCTCTTCTTGGGATTTACTTCAAGCAGATGGGCTACAAAATCGATGAAACCCTGATCTCCCATTGGTAATCGGTGGCGCAAGGAAGTCTTTTTTGGTATCAAGTATTCCAACCTGTTTGTGTCCTGGGAAACAACGAAGAGCCACTTAGCAATTAAAAGGAATCAGCAGGAGCACAGCTAAATTTGAAAGTCCTCTCTCTCTCTCTCATTAGTAATCAGCAGGTGCATAATTCAATTTGAAAGCCCTCTCTCCCTAACTCGCTCTCTCTAACAATTAATTGGAATCAGCAGATGCACTATTCAGTTCAAACAGTTGACAGTGCATGTTAGTATGCCAAAAAGGAAAAAAAACATTGGATACCTAATGGATCTTGAAGTACTATTTCTGCATACCCCTGACCAAATCTACCCACACTGGGATTACTCATTAATGGTTGATCAAGGTTGTACACACACATATTGTGCACGCCCGTGTGTGTGTGTGTGAGAGAGAGAGAGAGAGGGAGGGATCAAAGAGTCAGAGGAGGAACAGTTAGAAACAGGATAACAACACAGGCATGTAATAAAGGAAAAACTTTTGTTCCTCCCATAGAATGACTGAAACAGTGTCCTAACCCATTTTGACCATCCATTCATTTCGTTGGTGAAGACTTGAGGAGAGGTTAATAATAAATAGTAAATGGACAGAGCAGTCCCAAAAAGGTGAACTAGTAGTGCTATCTATCAAGATTTTCACCATAGAATAACCGATAAAGTTGTGGCAAAGGTGTTTCTGTCAATCTCTTGACTGGCTTACTGGAGGTCTCCACAAATTCTGGTCAACATGCTAGGAAAATGGTATAGGATAATGCTAAATTAGTCCTCCTACAGAAGAAATATAAGCTTTCCCACTAATAACAAAAGGGTGGGTTTTGCATAAGGTGCCCTCATACTGTAGAAGTAAGGCGCACCTCTACATTTTTCCTAGGGATGAAGTTCTAGTATTGGAAACCTTGCAAAGGGTTGAAACTATTTTCATCCCCAGTCATGAGATCTAAATTTCCAAAAAAAGGTACAAATCAAGCATATATATGAACACTTGAAAATCTCGAAAATAGATGTTCCCGATGACTGGTTACAAGAAGCACTATTTTTCGGACTTCAATTTTTTTTCTTCATATCTATATATGTAGAGGTCGAGATGATCAGTCGGAGGGTTTTCCAACATTGAAACACTCTCTTCTAGAAGATTTTTGATGTGGACCTTACTTCAATAGTATAAGATTGACACCTTATATGAACTGTTTCCATAACCAAACCATGGAAAAATAGATGCTACACCCCAATGACGCCAAGGCCACAACAAAAGCCGCACAGTCAAACTACCACATGAAAAAAATGTAAAATACCTGATTGCGCTCATAAAGCATATGATTTTTTGTGAAATATTTGTATGTATCCCGTCCCTTTGCCAGCATTGTTGGTTCAATGGGGCCAATGATACCGATCACACGAGCTAGTAACGTAGCAGGGGAATCATTCTGGAAGAGAACCTGCATAAAGATTAGAATGAGATTACCTTGAACCTTCACTAGCATGAAAATAGATATTGGAAGTACACAAAATAGATGAAAACAATAACTTGACATGCACTTAAGAACAAAGTATTAATTTCAAATCATCAGCAATTCAATGTTTCAAGTTGTGTAGAAACAAGCCTGGACTGGATCTCTGCAGTAAAAGGTAATTCTGAGAAAAGCATATCCTACTCAATCACTATCTGTGATTTTAGATGAGCATCAAAGCAACGAAGATATTCACATAGACACTGAACGAGGCCAGCCAAAAAGAATCGCCCTCCTAGTCACTACTTTCATCGCAATAATTCCACACCACATCTATCAGCTTTCAGTTGAGCAGCTTAGTTAAAACTAAGCAGGAACCTTTACAAACTAATCAAAGCATTCTTCACCAAGTTTCTCTCACCACCTTTATCAGTTTTCATAATAATTACTAATCACCCTCAGTTACAACTAAAACTAACTGGACTCTTTTGAAACTTTACCATTGCCATGAAATGAAAGATGAACACTCATTCTCACCTAACCAAATACAACCTCACCACTGAAATGCACAAGTGTTGCATCCAGCTTGGAGAAAGTAATTGCTAAACTACAGTCCAAATGAATTCAGATATGGAAATTTTGACCTTCACTGCAGCAATGTACTTTTACAGTGCAGAATTTGATCATCCATTTGAAAGCAACAAGCTTTTGTTCCCACTTGTTGGTAAACCACAACAATTAAGATATCAGACGACAAACATGAAAACTACAGCAAATAGCACTTGTTTTGCATGCTTCTTAAAGCTTTCCACATGTTTTGAGAATATGACCCAATTCATTTAAGATAACCATAACTTATGACTTCTGCACAATAGAACAAGATATCATGCAGCATATCAAAGGTCAATTAGGTGGTAGGCCTTTAAGGGAAAATTTCCAAATGTCAAGAACATTATATTATTATTTTCAAAAACCACAAAAAAAAGTTCATATCAGACTCGCTGTCTCTCAAGCCAATCTCCTAAAAAGGAATCATTTGGAGATCCAAAAAATTGATTCAAATCTATTGCTACAGCCAAATTGAATCTGAGCCGCCCAATTCAATGGGCAGATACTCAAAGTAATTTGAAGCTTTTCTGGAGCTCCAAATCAAATCTTATTTGGAGAAGCCACTACAAAAAAGATATCTTCATAAAAACTTGGCTTGGAGCTCCATAAGTGCTCCAGAATATCGCCATCCAGAAACCAGATTTGAGGCGTCCATCTTGATCAGAAAGTAGATGGTAGATCTAAGGGTTTGATTTTATTTAGAGCTCCAAATAAAATGTTATTTGGAGGTGATTTTGCACACTGTAAAAGGGGTTTTGAGGTGGTAACATAATAATACAATGTTCCTAAGAACCCATAGAAATTATCCTCATTCTTTAGTTAACCCAAGATGAACGTGGACTGGGGTCAATCTAGAAAAAGTAATTGCTTGTTTGGAACCATAATCAGCAAACCCACGAAAATTTCTTTTTTTCTTTTTTTTTTTTGTTTTGTTTTTGGTTGATAAGAACCCTTATATATCTTAAAAGACATTCCTGAAACTTCAAAATGGTACACTCTGCAAGGAGGGTAAGGTTACTGTTAACCCGCAAACATAACAGAGGATTGTAACCATCTTGATATTCTTTAAAAGAGGGACGACCTAAACAGTGTTAAAGTAGGAAATGCATACAATGAGACCATTTTCTTTTGATACAAGGAGGTCACAATCATCATTGACCGCTAGACTTGAAATCAGGTGGTTGAGGATTTGTCATTGTTTAGGCACAAAGTTCAAAAGAAAATTTGTCGAATTTTGTGACACTTTCAGCTATTGGATTTCACACCCAATGGGCTAAAAATGATTGTGACCTCCTCCTACCAAAAATAAATGGTCTCATAGTATACAATCCCCTTAAAGTATAAGGACTTAACATTTTTCTGAGAATTACAAGAAAATTAACTTTTCCAAAGCATGTTTTAGCTTAAATGTTAGCTTAGATAACATACCTACCTGCTCAGCAGTTGAATCCTATATGTAACTATAATAAAAGGCCGACTGCTACGAAATGACAACATCAAGAAGTACTGAATATTGCATTAATAGTACTATATCAAGAAGTGCTAAGTATTGCACAAATAGAACTGCATAGTGAAAAGATGTAAAATTAACATGAGAAAAATTGAGTTCACAAAAATAAATAAATGAACAAATGAATAAAACTCCTCACTACATGATAAAGCCTCACGTATAAATTGAGAACGTATACTATCATTTCATGGACCAAATGGTAGAAAGTGTTTTTAAATTCTGCTAGGGCGCAAAACAAGGTCCCTAGCCTAGTTTGAGTTACTTGAGTCCGAGTCAACTTGCCCAAGTTCGGGCTGAGCCACCGAAAGAGCCAAAAAACCCAAGAACATTGGGCAAATTCCCAAAAATCCATAAAGATTACAAAAAACAAAAAAAATATCAGCAACAGAAAAAGTATATAAGGATGAGAAAAAAATTTAAAAAATAAAAATTAAAAATAAAAAACAACTGGTAGAATATTATTCTCCCAAAAAAATATGAAAATATAAAACCATAATAAAATATACTGAACCAAAATAAGTCAAACATAATTGGTTTCGTCAAGGTTAAAGTCATTTATAAATCAACTATAATCAATAATAAATTAATTATATATACCCCCAAGTTTGGGGGCCCCTGTGTTTGGCATCTTGCCAAGCCAGAGTACCTCAGACGAGTCCGAGTTGGACATGCCACACTTTAAAACTACTGGGGCGCACAGCATCCATCATTTCAACGGACATTTCTTATCCAATGGAGCATAGTCTATGGGATCATGCTCTCTCTAAAAATATCATATATGTGTCCACATCATAAATTGAAAAAAATTTAAAAAAACAGTTGTATTAATAGCTTACATTTCCCGAGCAAAGCTCTGCCAGGATGCACCCAAGTGACCAAATGTCTATTTTCTTGTCATATGGAAGGCCCAAAATAACCTCTGGTGCACGATAAGATCGGGACTGCACATATGAGCACAAATGATCTGTCTCAAAGCAACTGCTCCCAAGGTCAATGACCTTCACTTCACATCTACTATAACTCTTAACCAAAATGTTCTCTGGCTTCAAGTCGCAGTGGATAAGGCCAAGACCATGCAAGAATTGCAGAGCTTCCAAGCACTGAATGGTAATTGACTGCACAAGAGAATATCCATGATATAGTCATATACTAGCACTTCAAAGAGATAACATAGTAAAATAAACTCTCTTTTTCTGATAGAGTTTTCAATTTCGAATTAGCACATATTTGAACAGACCTGTAACCTTGGCATGGTAAAGTAAACCTCTCCCCCGGATTCTCTATTGAATTTGTGAAATTCATACAAATTTGCCTTCAGAAGTTCACATACAATCAACAAATGTTCCTGCACAAGAGAAAATGGAAATCAATTATCTAGAGAACAGAATAATCAATGCCGCAATACCATGGATGGTAAGATAAAGGGTAATCTGCTGTTCTTTAAATGAATTAAGACTAGCACATAAACATGATTCAACTAATATTCTGTCCAAACCGTAAGAGAAACAAGTAAACCTGACCTAGAACACAAAACAACCATTCTAATTTAAAATGCTGATCTGCCAAGCAAACCCAAGATTAATAATATATCTCCCAACACTTTCCCTCAGACTAACAGCATTATTACTCATGGAATAAAGGGTATGACAACAAGCAAGCCAAAGACATGCATGTCAGATTCTGGAGCTGGTCACAAACTTTCTTTCTCTCTTTCTTTTAGCAAGCAGTGATAGTGATCTTATTTTCTTTAAAGAAAAATTAAAATGCAGAAAATGCATTTCAGAATAACTGATGTCATTTCAGTGAACCTAGCTATTTTGCCATGCTTTCACCTCCAATATAACCGCCTGACCTTATATTTCCACACCTGCTGCCACACGTCCCTCTGTAATAGCACCAGGTAGGGCTTAACAACCCCCAATCACTACCATCTCAAACCCAGGAACTCTAACTGATGAAGTCTAATACTTGAAGAAGAGATTCTCGTGGTTCAAACATTACCAGTTGAAACCAGTTACAAATAATTATGGTCTTAGTCTCAAGAGAATTAACGACATAAGAACAATAAGCATTGTCTTGACATGCAGTACACAGAAAAATATAATAAGCACTGTCTCAGGTTGCAGTAAATAAAAGCAACAATTAATTTGAACTCTACAACATATAACCACATCGTGGCATAGTTCATAGATAGAAGAGGAAAAAATATACCTAATTCATAGATTCATAAAGCGGATAATATCTTTAAGAAAGAGTTGAAAGAAGTTCAACTTACACGATAGTAAAAATAATCATACAACCGTAGAATGTGATACTTGTCGGCAGGATCATTCTTGTTTACAAACTTAAGAAGCTTTATCTCGTCAAGACTTTGATCAAAGAAATCTTTGTTGTTTTTAATGATCTTCACACACACATCCATGCCTGTGTGCAGGTCATGTGCTTGAATGGCTTTGCTGAATGCAGCTGATCCCAAATACTCAGTAACATGATAGCGCCCAGCAATAACAGAGTTCAGAACAACATGAAAATTTTTATCCTCCTCAAAGCCCGTTCTGTAACAATGAAAAACGCAAATTCTTAAAAAAATCAGAAGCATGACCATGAGAAAAAAAAAAAAACTAAAACATATTGTAGAAAGCATTTACCCTAGGAATGATTATAAAAGAAAAAAATATAAACTAAAAATGAAAGTATATCCCCAAAAAAAAAAGACAGTTCATATACCTTAGATTTCTTTTTGATAGAGCATTAAGTAAAATGATAATATCATTTTACTTATAACATTACTTTTGTTATTGCTATCATATTGCTAAGTTCATTAATTCTCCTTTTTCTTGAGACGAAAACCAATCATTCACCAACCCTGTTTCTTTGTAAACGCTCACAGAACCACGGAAGGCTATTTTCTGCCGAGAGGCCCGGCATGTGGGCTCTCTCGAAGGACTACTGTATTCTTCCCCTTTACTTAATACAACAGTTAACTTCATAATAAACAAAATGCTCACAGGACCACATGTATATATGTGTCAATTGGGAATGGTAAGTTCCTAGAATGACAGAACCAATGCATGAGATCAAATTACCTGTTCTTCCTATGAACAATCTTGAGATTAAATGTTTCGAATTCCTCCTCTTGAGCTCGTATCTGTCTCACTTGCTCTTGTACTGCCGCAGCTTCCTCATCATCCACAATTGCCCCAGCCTCTTCTTCTGTATGATCACTTACTTTCTCTTGTCGACCATCCTTTGTGAGTTCTCTTTCAGCATAGGCAGAGTTCGATCGCATTGATGCCGTTGAAGTACTTGATCTTCTCGCACTAGCTATGTTTTCATCTCTAGAGCTCTTGATGGGCGAGGACTCATTACTCTTTCGTTTCCAGGAAGAAAGCACGTCATTGGGACCAATCAAATGGTTCTCATAATCATCTGGAACAGCAGCATTAGCATTGTTCACTTTGCTTGACCAAAAGGAATTTCCAGACTCCCCCTTAAGCACATCTTCAGGTCTTAACGGAGATGGGAACGAAAAGCCATCATTGTAAGTGGCCCCAAATCCACTAACATCATTTTCAACAACAACAAATTTATTAGAATCCCCTCTAGATGTCTTTGTTTTTTCCCGGTTTAATCTATCACTAGAACTCCTAAGGTTTTCATGCTGGGCATGTTTAGACCCACATATACTGACATCATGATCACGAAAGTATTCCACATCTCCTTCACTACTTTCCCCAACCAAACTTTCTCGCATTTCACTGCCAAAATCAGCTGCATCACTGTTGATTCCCACTCCAATGGATCTAACCGAAGTTACTGAACCATGCTGGTCATCATCGATGCACAGGTCTTCTTGTCGAGGCCTTTCACATTCACTAGGATCCCCCCCATTACCTATCATATTGAGCTCATTCGTCTGAGAAACAAATCCCTGCCAAACAGGTTCAGTGCGCATCATCAAGTTTAGTTCTTCTTCATCCATCAATTGCCCATCGTATTGCGCTATTAAATCATTTTCATCAGATCTCCCATACATTTCAGTCATTGACAATCCTATAGGATCCTCTGAAGCAGTAACTTGCTTAATGTTTTTAGACTGAAAATATTGCTCCCCAGAGAAGTAGGAGTCCTCCTCTGCAAAAGACTGTTCATCCTCCTCGTCCTTAGTTCGACCTCGCTCCTGCTGGTCCGGAACACTACCATGACCTGTTCCCTTCTCATTATCACTAGGGTAGTCAATCTCATGAGCCAGAAACCAAGTCTCATCTTCAATGGGCTGCCTCATGTACCCAACATCATCATCATCTTCATATTCATCAGAGTCCCAGTACTCGTTTGGATAGTCAACTGACTCATTCAAATCCCCAACGGTAGCAAAGCCAGAAACTAAATCAGATGTATCCTCGGCAATTCCCTGGCTTACGGAGAGCCAACTACTCCCAACTGTTCTCCTTCCACCTGTTTTAGCCAATTTCCATTATTAAAAGGGCTTTATATTGGAATGGTACTAAAATATCAGTACAAGAACAGAAACAATAATTTAAACTAAGGTAAAGAACACATGTTTATTAAATAAAACATATGAAATAATGAAGGACAAAAAGTTAAAAAAAATACAAAAAAAGAGTCTTCGATTAAAAAAGAGCTGTGCAGGCAACAGTAATCTGTGAACAAAAATCCATAAAAAGACTCGCCCATCAAAAAGAGAGCCTAAAATACATGTATCTTCCACTTGTTCTACACAATAAATATCCTTTGTTATTTTGAAGGCAGTGCACCAGGTTGAAGCTCTTCTAAAAGTTAATCCCAGGTACAAGACTTTTCTTTTTGTTACGAAAAAATCTCATTAAAATTCACTTATAGAGAAAAGAGTCATTAAAATTCAAAAGAAAGGGGTACACATTAAATTGTGCTTAAGTTCCATCTGCCTGTTCTTCAGGCGGTCTATTATTGAGGAGGACCAAAACAATATTTTTAAGGAAAAAGGAAATTTTCTATGGTAAAATTTCTGAAGGCCAAGTCCTCAAATCACATCTTATAGCTAAAATGCAACATACACATTTTCCTACATTTCTATTACTGGCTTACTGCTATACCTAAACAAGAGAAATGTATGACAGGGAGATAAAGCAGCCATGAAATCAACGTTTCGAAAAACAATCCGCACAGTGCCTAGATGCCCAAGACACATCTGGCCGCACGCCTAGGCCTGGGCGGCCCATTCTGGGCGGTTGTACCTAGGCGGGCACCCAAGGAGTGGGTCCTTTTTCAATTTTTAAAGATGTCCAAAAGGGAAAAGGGGGTAATTTTAAGCCCCAAAGAGATTAAATAGGTTATGGGGGTTATTTCCAACCCCCAAAATTAAAAGAACACTTCCATAAGCCTTCAATCTCTTAGCTATACCTATTTTTGATAATCAAAAATATTTTTTGTAGTTTGAAGAGCTTCCTAAACTTTTCTTTTCTCATTGGAATTATTTTTAGGGTGCTATTGGAGGTATTAGAAGACTTTTGAGGTGATTTGTAGCTTGATTGAGGTCACAAACATCGAAGAGAAAAGATTGGGCAAAAAAGGTCAGTTTGTAATCTTTATTTGAGTCTCATTTTTTGGATTTGAGATATCTTCTGCGGGGTCTACGACGAGTGGGGATCAGGGATGAAAGTATTGTGTTAACCCGAATAAGAATGACAAAAATAAAATTATGTGCGATTTTTGTGGATGTAATAGATTCGAGAAACACATTGCATATATTAGAGGTGATGTCGCCCCGTGTAAGAAGGTCCTAGAACTTGTAAAAAACGAAATTTCTGAGTACATTGGAGCTGAAAAAAAAAAAAAAATAACAAAAAAAAAGGATATAGCAGAATTGAGGGCACGGGTCCATATTTTTTATGATGATGTTGACATTGATAACGATGACGAAGGGGAAGACGAGGTAGGTATGGTTGCTACTTAGAGCTCTATGAGTAAGAGGAGTTTTGGGTCTATGATTCCTCATATGAAAGGGCCTATTGATAGTTTTTTTACACCTAACCCCGAAACAATAATTGAGAAATGGAAGGGTAAGGGGAAATAGCAAATCACAATTGAAAATAGATTTAGGAAGGAAGACAGGACACGTGGTTCAGTATATTGCTTGGTGGTTTTACAATGCGGGCATTTCTTTTAATACTACTCCCTTGAATAGCTTCCATACAATGTTGGAAGCAATTGGGCAATTTGGGCCAGGGTTGAAAGACCCAACTCCATATAAGCTTGACGAGCCATTATTGAAGAAAGAAGTTGAGCATACAAAGGAATATCTCAAGACCCATAAGGATGGGTGGGCTAAATTTGGGGTTTCTTTAATGACCAATCTATGGAGTGATAGAAGGAGTACCATGAATTTGTTAGTAAATTGTCCTTTAAGTACATATTTTTTGCGATCCATTGATGCTTTTGATGATATTTATGATGTTCATTATGTACTTTGTTTCATTGATAAGGGCATTGAGGATGTTGGGGAGGAGCATGTAATTCAAGTGGTCACAAATATTGCTTCTCCCAATATAGTTGCAGGTCATTTACTTCGCCAGAAGAGGCCTTGCATATTTTGGACTTCTTGCACTGCACATTGCTTTGACCTTATGATTGGGGCCATTGGTGAGATGTCTGTTATTAAAGGAGTGCTACCTAAAGCTAAGGAGGTTGCAGTCTTTATATACAATCACATTATTATCCCTAGAATGATGCGCAAGTTTACTAAGAAGAGGGACCTAGTAAGGCCCGAAGTCACTAGATTTGCCACTGTCTACCTTAGTCTATAGAGCATGTATAAAATGAGGATCCCATTGAGGACTATGTTTGCTTTAGAGGATTGGAGTAGGTGTAGGTGGTCTAGAGATGCCAAGGGTATGAAGGCACGGGATATTATTCTTTCCAAATATTTTTGGCATGGGGTAAAGCATGCGATACTAGTATTTCTACATTTGGTGAAGGTCTTGTACATGGTTGATACTGATAAGCCCTCTATGGGCTTTATTTATGATGCAGTTGAAGGAGTTAAGAAGGAGATTGAAGAGAACTTTCGCAATGATGAGGCAAGTACGGCCAAATTTGGGAGATTATAGATATGAAGTGGGATAGGCAGCTCCATACACCATTGCATGCAGCGGAGTACTACTTGAACCCCAAGTTCTTTTATGTTGATGCAGATATTGAGGCAAAAGAAACAATTATGGATGGTTTTAATAAGTGCCTTGAGAGATTAATTCTCGATCCAAATATCCAAGGTAAGATATCAACTGAAGAGCTCATTTCATACAAGTGTGCTTTGATGTCATTCGGCAAAGATATGGCAGTAAGACAGAGAAGCAAAGACGAACCAAGTAATAATAATATATTTTGTATTTTTGTTTGAAAATTTTCTTTCAAGTTCCTAAAATTCTATATGATAATGTTAAATACCTAAATTAATTATAAAGGTTTCCCATATGTTGCAGCCCAATGGTAGAGACAACATGGGAGTCGCGCTCCACACCTCCAGAAGATGGTTATTCGGATCTTGAGTTTGAAAACTACTTCTTCTGGTTGTGAGAGCAATTGGAGTTTGTTTGAGATGGTATTTTATATTCTTTTTTTGTTTACAAGTTCATTTTTCTAATATAGATTCATAAAAGATAATTGATAATTAGATATTAATATATGATATAATAGATTACTAACAGATAGCTTAATTAGTAATAATAGTAGTACACTAGCAATTTAATACGCATGCATTTTTTCCTTATATGAGCATACAAAGAGAAGAAATTGGGTTGAGCAAAGGAAGCTCAATGACTTGGTTTTTGTTAGAGAAAATCAGAGGCTCAAGGAGAAGTATGACCAGCAAAAGAAGGATCCCATCATTTCGAAAGACATGGAAAATGCTTCTGATTGGATAGTTGGGGTCCTTGGTACCGAGGTCCTCCCCGGGGAGGGTCTGACTTGGGAAATGGTCAAGGAGGCTTCAAGTCGCGCTTCTGAACCTAGGAGGGCTACTTGAGCAACAATTGTTGCTCGTACTTCACACTCACAGAGGGAGAGGGAGATAGAAGAGGAGGCAGATTTAGAAGAAACTGCAGAAGAAAAGCAATATGTTGAAGTGGGTGACGATTCTGATGATGATGTTGAAGTAGATGCAATAACGATGTTGCTTCTAATTCTTATTGATGATGATTGGAGAAACGACGATGTCCTCTCTCTTCTTCTTTTGTCATATCTTTATTGCACCATCTTGGTTTGGACTTTAGACATTTGGATGTTACACTTTTTACCTTTTTGGACTATTTTGTTGTTTGGTTTTATAATTTGGAAAGTTTGGTGAAGAGTTGGAAACTTGGAGTCCATGTCATTATGGAATATGGAGAGTTGGAGACTATCAAACTATTACTAATACATAGCCTATTAGACTTTAAAAAAAATTAAAATTTTGTATGTTTTAAATTTTGAAATTTTGAACAAGTTTATTCTCAACATGCAATATATGGTTTGACTTTTCAAATTGACACAAATATATTCATATAAGTGCGTTTGGACAGCACATACATTTATATATCCAAAGAATTTGTACTACAATGCGCCTGAGGTTTTGGGCACTAGACTAGGCGTTGGGCTCCAAGCCGGACACCTAGCGCTTTTTGAAGCCTTGCATGCAATTGAACGTTATTATAAGAGACGATAGCTCTGATCATCATGAGAAGGATCAAAAAACGGTCATAATTTGAAGTCCTAACTCTTAGGTGTCAATTTTTAAGACCCTCAAGTGTAGGGCCAAGATGTACCAGCAATTGACGTAAGCTTGAACATTTAGACTAATATGAGATTTAGAAATACAACTAAGAGCTTGAGAACTGAGTGCTTCTATCATATCATATCACTATACACCTATAGTCGTGAAATGAAAGTTGACATGATTTTTTTCTTCTTTCAACCATACAAGGTGAACATGCTATCTTACAAGAAATAACAATGTTTTCCCCTTTTAAATTTTTCATTCTATTTTTTTTTTTTGGATTTTTGCAATTTGATTAAATTTTTAATATTTAGAAAATCTCCATCCCAGCTCAACATATTCCATGTTTAGGACTTATCGCACCTCTGCCAGCCTTGTTCAAACTTCAAACGATAATAGGAAACTTTGGATAGTTTGAGGGTAAATACATACTCCAGAAAACAGAAAATGAAAAATCAATAAGAAATATGGAAATTTTCTATATTCAATCCATGCAAACAATAATTCAAGAAATAGTGACTACCACTTTGAGGAGTTAAGCATCACAAGGTATAACCATCTAAAACCAAGATCATGGTTATGCATTTGAAAATCTTGAAACGAGTGCAACTCACATACAAAGAATAAACTTTATTCACCAAACCAGTTCGCATCATGTAATGGGAAGCCCTTATTCTTCGGCTATGCATAGACTTCGAAATGATATCAAATGATATGTAACCGGTCAAAAAACCATGAGTTTTTTATATTTGAAATCATTTCGTTGCTCCACTCTGCATCATAATATCCTGAGATAAAGTTTTGAGATAATTATTAACATAAAATATGTATTAGGTGCCAATACCTGTTAGCGGCAATGATGCTACTAATACATGTATGCAATACATGCTTCTAGCAATTTCTGTTGTTGGACAGTGTGGGATCAAAACTGAAACCAAACAGTTCACATGAAATTTGCATATCCCAACAATACAGGATCAAACACAGAAAATATGAAGTAACACTTGCAAAAATCAAACTGATGTTGACAAATGTTTGCATTTACGATAATTCAACAAAAAAAATAGGAACACTACAAATAAATTTCCGCAGCACATGAATTGATGTCATCGTAAGAATTCAAGGTCTCTCATAAAGTGAGAATAGACATAGACAAATAATCTGCCTGTTGCTTTTTCTTTTCTTTCTTTTTCAAGTTCTTATGGTATCATATGCCAGAACATGCCCACTCAGTTTCAAATTAATTCAGAAACAGAAAATTCTATAAAAGATGATTACTCATCAAGCATTACCCAACAGATCAAAGAAAGCATTTTATATTAAAGAGACTAATTAAAGTAACCTGAGGAGTTGATCTCTTGCCCAACTGGAACATCGAGAAATGATCCTATTAAGAAAGCACTGTCAGCATCAGAGGGCTTGATTCCGGACCCTCTTCGATCTGCCTTCTCATCCCAATGGATGTTAACAGGTTTTTCCTCAGACTTGAGTCTAACAGGAGGCAGCCTTGGGAGCTCTTCCCGGTGATACTCTGAGTTTAGAGGCATATCCAAGCTCACAATGTTCTTCTGGTCACTGCTTCCTTGAGATTTCCCCTTTAAGGAAGCTCGGTTGACCCCTTCAAATTGAAGCTCTCTTTCAGAAGAAAGATCACTCTCTTCAACTTTCCATTTCCCCTCCATTCTACTGTCCCCTTGGTCTGCAGATAAACTATGAAAACCTTTATAATCGGAGAGTGAATCCCCAACTGGAAATGGGAAGACGGTCTTGATGGAACAATCTTTCCAAGCATCAGAAGAAGAAGACTGGCAAAGCTTATCCCCTTTTGGCCATGAATATTCAGGCAAGCACTCTGTGGAGTAAGGACCCACAAGCTTACTCCCCTCAGAAGATGAAACCTCCCTAGAAACCTTCACTGAAGACTTCAAAGATCGATCAACTTCATTATTTTGGATCGTCCAAATTGCTTCAAACTTCGGATCAACAATCGAGCTTGGCCCACCAGACCAAGAAGATCTCTTCCCTGACACACTCATTTGGCTAAAAGCTTGCTCAAACTCGATATTTTTTGGTTCATTTTCTGGCTGCTGATCGATCTCCCTCGTGTTTTGGACCCATTTATGGTTTTCTCCCAAATTATTGGTATCTTTTGCTGGTTTCTTCCTAGATGAGGCCCGAGCAGGCAGATACTTAGATAGCCCAGATGCTTGAAGCTCTAATAAACTATCCCTATCAGGATCGTGCAGAAAACTATCTCTGCCAACAGGCCCACCATTGAAGTTCCAAGGATACAGGTCCTCAGAGGGGCTTGCTAAAGTCGGGTTTTGAGTGTTCTCTGAACCTTGCTTAAAAGTGAACTTGCTTTCGCTTGTCCCGACCAGCTCTTGGGCTTTCAATTTTTCAGAACTAGAGTGTACTTCTTCTGCAATGGAAGTAGATTTACGATTGGTTTCTGACGCATTTCGAACACTCCCATACTCAACCTCCTTCACAATAAGTTCTCCAGAAGTCTCTCCACTCCAAGTGCCTGTGATTTGGGGTTTTGGGGGCTTTGCATCTGAACGTGGTGCCTCAACTTTGGGCAATTGGGCTATATTATAATTGCTGGGTTCTGTTGAAATATTTATTTTTCCGTATTCCTTTTCATTCCCAATAATATCTATTGGATCTTCGACAGGAGGATGGTGATGGGATCCATTTGAGTCCTGACGGTTACTAAGCTCTCCACGAAGAGCTGCCTCAGCTCTGGTAAAACGATGCCGTCTCAAGTAATCTAAAATGACATCCACTGTATCCCCCATTTCCCAATCTCTAGTCAATCAGAGACTAGAGAGAAGAACTCGCATGACCTGAAAATTACTGATTCAAAGTGGATTGATAGTGTCTTTTCACAAAGGAAAAACAATGAAGATGGTAACAAATACATGGAAAAACTATACTTTCAGATAAATCATATACGATATGTCACAAACCCGATCACAGTAGATCAAAATGAACCCAAATACCCCAAGAAAATCAACAAAAGAAGAACTATAAAAAGTTCCTTTTTTCCTATATATAAGTTTGAAAAAGATAGAGCAAATCCTCTTCCTAAAAAAAGAAAAAGAAAAAAAAAACTTTTGCAAATAAAACTCGTAGGGTTATTTCACATCTTTTCAGGCATTTGGGAACTCTTTACCAGCGAATACGTAATATTGTACTCAGCTCAAGGTGAAAAATAGAGCAAAGTTCACAGTTCAGACTCCAAACACTACCACTATGTTCAAAAGAGAAGCTACGCATATCAAAGAGGGAGAGTAAATATTCAACAAAATGAAATCAAAATAGGTTAACTCGAAATCAATTTCACTACACATGACCCAAATCTAACAAGCCCAACCTCACAATTAAAGATTTACCAAAACCAGAGACTTTAAGCCAGAAATAAATGCCCTTGAAATACTTCAAAAACATGAATGCCCAAACAGTCATGAAAACAACATGATGCACTAAACAAAACCCAACATTTAACATGCTAAAAAAAACACTCCCCGTCCAAAACCCTAACCAAATCCATCATTCCAAACCAGACACAAACCAAACACAACAAAATCACAATGAACTCAGAAACGCATCCATGACCACAAGATCAATCAAAAACCCGAAACCACAACCTCCATAAACCAGTCAAAACCCCCAAAAAAGAAGATTGAGAAAACCCTAACTCCATCCCCAAATTCGTCACAAAACCCAAAAAAACTAAAAAAAGGAGAGTAGATTTGAAGAGAGAGGCAGAGAAAGAGTTAGATAGAGCTTACAGATCGAAGAGAAGCAAGCGTCGGAAAGGGGAGACACTCGTGATTTAGGGTTTAAAAGGGCATCTGGTTCTTCTTCCTGTGAATCTGCCATGGCAGGTAGCGAGAGAGAGAGCATAGGCACCTGCATTTTTCCCAAACCAAAGAAGTAAAAATAAAACGAAATAATATATTAAAATTAAGCATATTAGAGCCTCTTTCTGACTCTATTCACTCCCTATAAAGAAGAAAAATAATACTAAATAATATATTAAAATTAGGCATATTCGAGACCCTTACGATCCCTTTGTTCATCCTCATCAAACTGCGATTTTCCCTTTTTCTCCTCCTATTTATCTGCCCTCCTCTTTGTCCTTATTGATCCTTTGGTTCTTCTAATTTTTATATTAGAGAATGCCAAAATTACGCATATGTTTTTTTTGGATGAAATTATATAAGGCCCTAGGCTTCATGAAAACAAAATAAAGTCTAACCTCAAATCCATGTCTCGAAAACACTTTCGGCCGCAAAATCTCTATGATGGCTCCAAATAAATTTCCAATACCAACAGTAAAATTTGAAACTCAAAAAATAGTATAGATCTTGTGGATTTATGAGCACTTGTTTTTAGGGCGAAATGTACAGTCATTATATATTATTTTTAGAACTTAAAATCTTAATTTATTGCACAACCATAAAGTTCAAATCGAGATAATCAATGCATAGGTTTTTCAATGCTTAAATTGCAGTTTTCGATGAGTTATGAGGTGAGGCTTTACCTATCAAATAATGTTCCTATTTTTTAAGAAACCTGAAAGGGTTGTAGCCTTATCAAAGTAAGTAAAGCTTCACCTAGTAACTCTTCCAAAATCACAATTCAAGCATTAGAAGCCCTTTATATTGATCACCTCGACTTGAGCATTATGATTGTGAAAATAAATTAAGATTTCTAGTTCTAAAAATGGTGTATATTTAAGCAAATTATTTAGACCATCTATTTTACCCAAAAAATAAGTGTTCACAAATTTGTAAGATCTGAACTATTTTTTTAGTTTCATATTTTATTGTTGATATTGAAAATTGATTTTAGAGCCATCATGGAAATTTATTTTGCTAAAAATGCTTTCCAAAAGAATATTTGATGGGAGGCATTATTTTGTTTTCATAATGCTTAGCGCTTATAGAAACCTCATCCATTTTTTTTAAAAAATAGTTTGATAGTGCAACCCTATCAAAATAAGTAAAGTCTCACCTAATGACTAATCAAAAAATATATTTCAATCATTGGAAAACTTTTACATCGACTTGAACATTATGTTTGTGAAAAAAATTAGGATTTCAAACTCCAAAAAAAACAATATATATTTTAACAAATTATCTAGACTACTTATTTCACCCTAAAAATAAGTGTTCAAAAATCTACAAGATCTGTAGGCTTTTTTTTAGTTTCAAATTTTATTGTTGGTATTGAAAATTGATTTTAGAACCATCATGGAGATTTATGTGGCCGAAAGTGCTTTCCAGACAAAGGCTTAATTTAATACTTTATTTGGTTTTTATAGACCTGAGGCCTTATAGATATTTTATCCATTTTAAAATTAGGTTATTTGAAATTTAACTAAATATTTTTTATATTATATTTGTATTTATTTTATTTATAGTTGTTTTAAAAATAACCAAACAACCCATAATTCGGATCTTCAATATGAAATTTACCCTTTTTGAAATTGAGTGATTTGTTTACAACTTTTACCACAAGCATTTTCATATTTTTAAATCTGAGAATATAAACTTTTCAGATTTTTGAAATTAAAAAATTCCCCTAGCCTTGAGCCATATCGGCGACGAGCAATTGTTTTTTTTTTCCAAAATTAAAAAATTAATTTTATTTTGATTTTCAATTTTTCTAGATTTTGAAAATCCAAAATTACAAATAAATGAATTTTCTGATATTTGAATATTCAAAAATTCCAAATAATTTGTTGACTTTAAAATTCTAAAAAAATATAATTTTGGAACAAAAAGAAAAACAAAGAAATTAAGCAAGAATGTACTTTTTATAATAACAAAAATCACACGGTAATGGGAAAGGGGGGCACGGTGGTACCACCCCGCATCTTAGTCACTGCATTGTAGTTTCCATTCCCACCAATAACACCACACCACTAACACCTTAAAAATTGCGAACTCCTAATCTACTTGAAAAAACGGGTAGGGGCATATCTTCCCCATTGAATTGCCCAAAAATAAAAAATAAAAGAACACACGGTCATGCATGTAATTGACTCTAAAGAATAAAAACAAACTTTTTGAATAATTTAATTTATTAATTATTTAATATTTCATCTCTTTCCACTATTCTAACTTCGATATGTGTAGTAGGATGGGTTTTTTGAAATTAAATATAAGCAAAATATTAAACAGTTCATTTTTTAAATTCATTTTGATAATACCAAAAAGACATGATTGAAAATGGTGAGAAAAGATACAACTTATAAATTCATAGAAGATGTGACTTTGGTAAAGTAGAATGGCGGATAAAAATGTGTGTAGCCGACTCCAGATAGTTAGAAGAAAACTCTAATAATAATAATGATATTTTAAATTTATTTTGATAAATTCTCTTTGTCATATACTTAATTTTAAAAATCTCGAATAGTTGAAAATGTATAAAATGTGAAATAACCCAAGTAAAGAGTATTTCTTTTATAAATGTTTCTTATAAAATAATAAAACAATGAAAAATAAAAATAAAAATAAAATAAAAAGAGGCTATAGTTATAAGATAATAAAAATAACAAAACTATTAAAAAAGGAAAAAAAAAGGAGACACGTTAGAAGAGGTTATAGCGTAGCGCCCTTTCTTACAAGATTAACTTCATATATTTAATTTTCTCTTTATCTTTGATGAAAATAGCCTTACTTAATTAAGTGAATGACCACAATGGCCAATAATTTTTCAGATGCCCAAGATATTGTTTTGTTGAATTCTTTCTTGTTTAGATAGACTCCTCGAGGGATTTCTAGTGTTTGTTTATCAAACTGGAGAAGAACATCAACAAAATTTTAAGCAAATTCTAGTTCCTGAAAGCATGACCTAGATACCATTGGCACGTGTTGACACTTTGACACATTTCATTTTTAAAATTATTATCTTTTGTCAAGTATATGTTATTTGCCATTGTGGAATTGCTTTTAATTTTAGTTAATATGAATTATTTATGGGTGTGGTTTCTATAAAAGTTGCCTCCTTAAACAATCCAATTAAGGTGCGCCTCCAAATTTTATCATAATATGTAATTTTGGTGTAAAATATTATTAAGATTATTCGAAAATCTATTTTCATATCTAATTATAAAATTTTAAACTCCAAGAATGGTTAAAATCAAGTAGATCTATAAACATATGAAAATCTTGAAAATGGACGGTCTAGATAATGTGTTGCAAGATACACTATTTTTAGGACTCAATTTTTTTTATTTTTTTTTGCATATTCATACATCTCGATGTCAAGATGATCAATTTGAGTGTTTTTTAACATTAAAACAACCTTTTTTCGATAGAATTTTGAGGTGCATCTTTAATTCTCCATTTTAACGTTACAACCTTATATAAACTGTTTCTACTATTTATTTTGTATTATAATTTATTATTCATGCATTAGAAATTTGATCTGGCTATAAAGAATAATCATGCAAATAGACCTTCCATCTCAATTTTAATTCATTATTACACCAAGATGCACTTTGATTCTAGAACCAATATCCAAGACTTGGTGACATAGGATACCCCCATTTGAAAGAAAACATACATTGCCCTTAGCGTGTCAGATCCATACTATCTCCACTCTTGTCACGGAATGCATGTTTGTTTTGTTTATGCCGAGGCCTACAGATGCAACAAATTGTAACATTTTATGCGTTTGTTACATCGGCAATGTGATGCTAATTTAAAAGTCGATGCTAATTTGAAAGTCGTTGCTTCCAACAACTTTCAAATTACATTGATTTGGGGAAGCCTCAGCTTTCATGCTACCCTATTAAAGTCACACCTCTCGGATTTTGTGAAAAAAGCCCACCAATCAAATATTCGGAGAACCGTGCAATATTCTTTTTGGAAGTGGAACCCGGGTATCTAAAGGCTAAGTGACATATTAACTCATACTTATAAAGCTTGGTTGAAAAATGGATCTCGAATTTTGAGGATATAACTTAATTAATTAAGTGTTTGACCTCAAAAAAAAAAAAATGAGGGGAAGAAGAAGAAGAATATACTCAAGCGTTTTATATTTGCTTAAGAAATAACATTCTAAGATTAATTGAGAATTATTATTTTCTTAACAGTCAAATCTAAGAATTTAAAACTCAAATATTATATTTTAATATTTATCTTGTAAGTATAAAGTGATCCCATATTTTTAAGATGGATGATACAAGGTGTAAACCTTAAACAATCATGGTATTGTGGACCTCAAAATCTCGTTAAAGATGTATTTTTAGTGCCGAAACTCTCATTATGGCCTAAGAGTCTATTTTTCACCCCTATTATGAAATTGGTGCAGAACTAACAGATCTATGAACACTTGAAAGTCTTAAGAGTGAATGATCTAGGTAATGTATAACAGGATCTACTATTTCTAACACTTAGAATTCAATTTTTCTTTCATATCCATAGGTCAAGATGATCAATTTGAAAAATTTTAGTGACGGAACAACATTTTTCAATGGGTTTTTGACAGCTTATATAAACTTGTTTCTTTTAGATTGTTCTTTTTTCTTTTAAGATTGTTGGAACACTCCTAAGTAGGTCTTTGACCTCTTAGAGAATAAGCATACAATGTACTCCCACGAGACCACCCTTAGAGCATTAAAACAACCACCTGCACTTATTGAAGTACAAATGCTAAAGAGTATCCAATGCTTTCCTAGTTGGGATGGGAATGTCAGAAATGAGACTAGACGATTTTTACTAGTTATAGCAGTATTAATAAAAAGGGAAAGGTTTATGTATTTCCCCTACAGCATAGAAGATCTATGATTTTCCTCCCATCCAGCCGTTGAATTTTGATCAAGAGAGTCACTCACCGTTTGATCTTAGATCCGACGTCTTAAAATATTTTATTTTTAGTTTTTTATGTATAAATTGTATGAATACGAAACTTGGTATGTGTCATCTTCTCATTGGGGCGCACCTATAAAAAATATTAAAAATA